CCTTTCATGCCGTGACAAGGCCTCGTAGCAGGTCGGGCCCGTGACGTCACTGCCTCGGGGCCTCCTGCAGACCTCGGTGGGCGGGGGAGGGTGAGGGGGACGACTCTGCTGAGGCCTCAGGCCCGCTCCGCGGTGAAGGTGGCTTTCAGCAACGTGCCCCTTCCCCACTCATTTCTCTCTCCCTCTCTCTCTCTCTCTCTCTGCCCCCCCAGCTTCCTGCTATTTGTTATCAACGCGACTGACAGGGAAGGGGCGGGGCCGCGGCGGGGCGCGTGGAGGGCGCTGCTGTTGGAGAGCGCCGGGAGTGCTGCTGGTCGCCTCGTGGCGGCGGCGGTGGAGGACGGAGCGGTCGGTGATGCTACTGCCCGGGCAAATACACTACGCTCCCCCCTTCCCTCCCCATGTGCACCGAACCACCCCCAGAGCGACCTCCTTCCCAGGACTTTAATCTGACGAAGCTACCCCCCGCCCCCCGCGACCCTGTACTCCCTGTTTTACTCTGATGCTGGATGCGGTTCCCCCTCTCCCCCAGGTCGCCCTACAGCACATACCACACATGTGCGCGACGACCGACGGCCGAGGCCGGACTTTCACCCGCCTCTGTTCATTTCTCGGTAAAGACGGCCTCTACGACGGCCGCGCGCAGCACACGGAGCTGCTGTGCCACGGGACGGGGTGCTCCGTCGGGCCAAGGACGGCAATAAACCCGGGGAGGGGGAAGAGGAGAGGACGGGGGAGGGGGAGCCGAGGAAGAGCCGAAGCAGGAAGGGACGGCGGAGAGTCGGTCGTCATTCCTAGAAGAACAAAGGGCCGAGATATGGGCACGGGCTGGAACTGTGAGGAGGCCCTACTCGCCGTTTTTTGTGCATCCTCCGATCCTCCGTCCGGCTGCTGCGCTGCGGCCTCTGCCCGGCTCTGCCCTCCGCTCCGCCCTGTTGCCAATGTGCGGGGGAAGGTGCGGCACGGGGACGCGCTTCAGCAGACGTCAGCGGGTCCGCGTGCTCCTGGCTGCTTGCACCAGCAACCAGCACCGCGGTGGATGCTCAACAGAAAGAATGTCCCCGGTCGGCCAGCCGCTACGGTCGGGATTCGTCGCACCTTCCATATGAAACCCCTATGCTGCCCGGGCTTTCTCGGTCGCGACCTTGTGCTAGCCAGACTGAATTTGCGTCAAATTAGATCAAATTGCTGGTATACGCATTGTAAGTCACATTCGCCGCATTTGTCGCGAGAAAGTGCACTTCAGATGCATAGAAAATGTAGTTACTTTCATGCGGTTTTTATTTATCCTTTTGCGCATTACCGGAGGAGGGGCCTAACAAGGTTTGCCGTCGCGTCGCTGTCCCGCGGGGGATAGCGGCGGGGGGAGGCGGGGGAGGCGGGGGTAGGCGGGGGTCGTCGTCGTTGGGTGGAGCCCAATGAAGTGGTGAGGGCCACCGCAACCGCTTTATAGGATTGAGGTGTCACATCCAAGCAGAGTGCTTCCAGTCAATTTGACGACAGCTGAGCCACCCGCCCGGCACCCCTCCCCCTCCCCCTCCCCCTCGCTCGCGGCTGGCCGCGGTCGGGTTGAGACCCGCCCTCCCTGTTATCGAAGGCTGTTTCTTTAGCGCGCTCAGCTGTGTGGCATGAAGGCTTGGAAGGGGCGGCCTCTCGCCGGTGTTGTTGTTGTTGCCGCGTCCTACGGCTCTGTTCATCTCTCCTCTCCTCATTAATTCCACGTCTTGGAAATAACGGATTCAATTTCTCTGGTTTCGACGCACTTTCTATGAAGCGTGTTTTAGAATCGAAGCAGTCCCACTCGCTCGCTAGGGCAGTCCGCAAGCTCGGCGGCGGCCTGCCCACTCCTATAGTGTATTTCGACTAACGGAGGAAGAAGAAAAGCGGGTAGAACATAAAGGTTCCTGATTGGTCGAGCCTTTACCCCCACTACCGGCGTGACGTAGAGGCGGGAATCTCTCGACCAATCGTGAACTTTTATGTTCTAGCCGCTCTTCTTCTTCCCTCGTTAGTCGAAATACACTATAGGACAGCGGGCCCTCCAGGGGACCGGGTGGCGCTTGATCTCTCTCCCGAGAGCGCCCCGGAGGCTGCGGTGCTGATTTAACACGGCCCTAGCTGGAAGGCACCCCATTGCCTCGACCTGTTGATTTCGCGAGAGCAGACGACGTTTCCAGGAGCGCGCGGGCCTGCTACTTCGCGAGAGGCTGCGAGGGCGGAGTGGTCCGGAGGAAGGGTGCTGGCGGTGGGGCAGCAAGGGAGGAAGGGGCTTGCTGGGTGCCTGGTTGAGCATCTCTCGGTCGATGGGGGGGTCGGTGCGGAGCGGGGGGCGAGCGCCAGGGGCCGAGTGAGTTGAGCCTCCGCCAGTATCAGAAGTTTCGCCTCTTTCTCCCCACCAAGCAACGCCGCTACGCTAACGCCCCAACAAACAAGCTTTCTTAGGGGAAAGGAAATTTTATTCAATGCGTTCTGGTAGCGCAGGAAGCTTGCTTGGTGCATGTCTCCTGCTTGGTGTTTGCCTCGAGATTTCAGCTTGAGAATGTAATTGAAAGGTCTTTCAAAATCAATGCCATGAAAATAAATTGTAGGACCCCGTAAGGCAGAGGAGATACTATGTAATGCGAAAATAACGAGCGACTGCGATAACGCTGAAGCTCCTGTGCTGTGGTCCTCCTGCCCTATACTGTGCCTTCCTCGGCCCTGCCCCACTCCCCCCCCCACAACACCCGTGATAAGTCCTTTGTACTCGCAACAAGAAACGAGCGGCATCACAAAAAGTCCGCGCACGCCACGAAAATTACATAAAAAAGATAAGAGGTGGGGGTGGGGGGTCACGTACTAGTGCCTGGGGGTAACGATGTGGAACAGTTATGGTAAACGGCCGGGAGAAACGTTCCCGGGAGCGCCTTGAGTAGTTTCCCGAGTCACCTCCCCGGCGGGAACTTTCCGCAAAAGTTCTCCAATGGTCCTGCTGGCGCTGGCAGTCCGACTTAAAGTTATGGCCGAAATCATACCCAGTACTCACGTTTTGGAAAGTGGTAGAGTGACCACACTGAATCACCCGACCTAACGCAAGCAAACACACAATGTGTTCTGCACGGAACAGCAGAGCTGCGGAACGTTTTTCTGAAAGTGCAGCTTGAAGAGTAGAGGGTGGGAGGGGAGGGGCATTGCCGCCAGCGTAACTATAATGTTCACCATCGATTTATATCGCCCTCCACTGCCGCTCCCGCGCCGGGCAGCCCGTTCCGGGGGCCGAGCGGAGCGTTGCGGGCGAGACAGCCACCCTTTCTGCCCTCACAATTGTCACGAAAACGGTGCCTGGGCGCTAAGCGGGAGGAAAGAGGGAGGAGGGGCATGGGCTGGACCGGCACGTAACTCGCAAAAAAAAAAAAAAGAATCAGGAGTCACAATTTTCGAAAAGTGTACTATACTCGAGTTCTCGAGCGATATGGTAATAATGTTAAAGGATCCTAAACATCTCGACTGTTCATTTTAGGGCACGCAGCATCTAATTCATCCTCATCCCGAGAGTTCGTCGGTCTTACCTTCGCGATGACGTTACTGCTCGAGGTCGGCGAGGCCGGGCGCCCCGCGCCGGTGTGGTGGACGACGCGGACGTTGGAGGAGGTCCGGTGCGAGGCCGAGCGGGGTGAGGAGGAAGAGGGGGTGGAGATGGGGAAGGGCGGCAATGGGGTCGACGGCCACGTCGGGAATGGGCCTCGGCCGCAGAGGCCATCCCCGCGGTGTCCGAGGCCGTGACAGTGGCAGGCTTCCGTGCCGACGAGGGGGCCGTGCTGGCCGAGGTGCTGGGCCGTGCAGCACGGGCCCCAGGGTACCGACCCGGAGGCCGAGGCGGGGCGCGGAGCACGCGCGCGAACCACCCCCGGGCTCCGCGGAGCTCAAACTAAACATTTGTGTGTTTGTGTGAGGCCCAACGGTCCAATGGCCCCCCACCCCGCCGAGCCACCCCTGCCCATGCCCCTGCGCACGGCCCCGGCGCAGTGAGCGGCGCCGAGCAGGGGGTGAAGGGAGGAGGAGAGGACGGGGGAGGGGGAGCCGAGGAAGAGCCGAAGCAGGAAGGGACGGCGGAGAGTCGGTCGTCATTCCTAGAAGAACAAAGGGCCGAGATATGGGCACGGG